CAGGTCCCATAGCTGTGACTGCTCTACAGGTTGTCTGTAGCCTCTCCATATCATCTTATCAAGCCAAGAAAATGTGATTCGGCTTAAAAATGAAGCTTCTGTCTCTGGACATGGTTTCTGGAAATATGTTTTTTTTTATTAGAAAGAATGAACAACAAAAATAGCAACTGTAACAAACAATTGCCATAAGCTAAGTAATGTATGTGATAATCAAAGAGTACACTTGGCCTTTATGAATCAGAATAAATCTTAACCTATTGCTGTTGGGAATATGTACTATCAACTGTTATCAGAGACAGGAAGTATCACAATACATGTATCAGCGATAATAGCAACGGTTACTTTTGTTTGGTATTGGTATCCCCTTAGCTACTCAATAACTGTATCATCTTATCAGTATCCCTAGCCTGTTTTTCTCAAAATGTATAAAAAAGTTGATACATATAGATGACTAATTCTAGCTCTGTAGAGACTAACACATAGCAACTATTTCTGGTAGATAATCACACCTACATTTCCTTTCCACTATGCACAATACAATGCAACAAGTTTTTGAGAACTCATCATGGCAAGCCAGTATTAGAATGCTTAGAAACGATTTCATATATGTAAAGTAGGCCTATCTGACTAAAATAATGCAGGATTAAGATGTTGTTTAGAAAGTCCAGTTGGCTGCTTATGAAATACATTTCTTTCATTCTGACCTCAAATATGTTGCCTAGGATTTTATGACAGATATTCTATCTACTACAGAATATCTATCCCATATCGAAAAAATAATGCTAACTGATTATTTATGTATTTTCTTTATTTTATTTTACTTCCCCCCCAAAAAAAATCATCTGTACTTATAACTATACATAATGCATCTCAGTCTCTCTCTCTCTCTCTCTCTCTCTCTCTCTCTCTCTCTCACACACACACACACACACACACACACACACACACACACACACACACTCGCTTTCTCTCTCTCTTTCACTCACCTGCTTTCTCTATCATTACCTCACTCACTTTCTCTCTCATTACCTCACTCACATTCTCTCTCACTCATTCACTCACTTTCTCTCTCACTCATTCACTAACTTTCTCTCTCACTCATTCACTCACTTTCTCTCTCACTCATTCACTCACTTTCTCTCTCACTCATTCACTCACTTTCTCTCTCCATTCACTCACTTTCTCTCTCACTCATTCACTCACTTTCTCTCTCACTCATTCACTCACTTTCTCTCTCACTCATTCACTCACTTTCTCTCTCACTCATTCACTCACTCTCTCTCTCACTTTCCTTCTCACTCACTCACTCTCCAACTTTCTCACTCACTCACTTTCTCTCTCACTCACTTTCCTTCTCACTCACTCACTCTCCAACTTTCTCACTCATTCACTTTCTCTCTCAGTAACTTCTTTTCTCTCTTATTCACTCACTCCGTTTCTCTCTCCTGCACTCACTCACTCTCATTCACTCATTTTCTCTCTCATTCACTCACTCAATTTCTCTCTCACTCATTATGAGAGAGTGAGAGAGAGAAAGGGGATAGCAACATTGGTATTAATAGTATTAGAAAAAAAAATCCCCAAAACTCAAAGAAAGGGAAAAATAGAAGTATTCATCAATGTTATTTCAAAATATCTGCCATGTCAATATAAATGGGTAAAGGAATACCACTGAAATATGGATGACACAAGGAGCAAAGAGTAAACTTTCCCTAAAGCACTGACGGTATTTGCTAGAAAACTACAGGTTACAGAACAAAGTTTATCAAATTAAAGAAAAAATAGGGAAATCAGTAATTCATCATTCATATTTACTGTACATCTTAAAAGATCAATGAAGACTTTACAATATTCACTTGTATTAACTCATTGCCGCTGGGGAAAATGAATAAAAAATGGGGAATATGCTGTACTCATTTTTTATATTTTTGTGAAATATCTCTGTACATAGATGGCTCTGCTAGTCCTGATTTCACCTTTCCTTGAATTGGCAGGAAAAAAAGTATTTTTACTAGTGCTATAAATATAGATGGTGTTATTTTTAACAGCAAATTAGGATAACAAATATTTTCGTAAATCGATGAAAAGGGTGAACGGGCGAGACAGGCAGTACTCGTAATTGGCTCATTGGATACTTAGTACAAGTGTAGCCATCTATGTGTAAAAACAATCGAACAAGTCGACTCACAGTGGGCATGGCATGTACGTACATGCCATCCCTGGCAGCAATGAGTTAATGAGAAAAAAACAAATTCAGGATTTTTAAAAAATTACAAGATCAAAATTGAAGTCCACTATTGCAACAGTGGTTTCTAGCATACATTAGGAAAAAAAATAAAAAATAAAATAAAGAAAGAATAAATTTAAAAATCTGTGGACAACTACATATCCCAATCTGGCAAAGCATAAAAGATATGAAATATACATGGCTATGAGACACAAATTTCCTCTCAAAAGACATTCTTCTTCATCTACCATTTGTAAATCTTAATACCAAAAG